TCTGCCTGGGAGGAAGCGGCCCCCCCACCTCTCGCCCCAACTTCAGGCAGGTTAGTTCCCCCCCGAGTGTCCCAGGTCCTTTCAGGCTGCTGCCGGGCGCTGGGCAAAGAGGGAGCGTCCGAGTGAGTCCGTGCTCGGCCCTTAGGAGGAGCTGCTGGGGCTCCCGCAGCCTCGGCGACCCTCAGGGACAGTCCCCGCTGGTTTCACAGCCTGGAGTTGTGGGGACGTCTCTTCCCGGCCTGGAGCCCTGGGCTGGGGGCCTGTTGTGGGTCTGGGCCCCCTGCCTCCTCCGGGAAACCTCCGCCACCGAGATTCCCTCCTGGGTTTACCCCGAGGCACCGGGTGTGGGCCCGCTGCATGTCTTTGTGATTCAGCCCCGATCCCCCCGAGTCTACGCCCCTCCTCCCGGTCTCGATGCTCCTTCAGCTCCCTGGTTGTGGGGCTTCTGTGCAGCCGGATCTCAGGAGGTGAGTGACGGTGGTTCTGTGTTTTAGTTGTAATTTTGATGTGGTTGCGGGAGGCGGCGGGTGCAGCTGCTATCTATTCGGCCATCTTGTTTCTCTCCAAAATTGCTTTTATTTCTAAAAAAGGGCTTTTGCTTGCTTATAATTAACCTTAAATTCACATATCATGGGAGCTGTTTCATCCTGATTTTTATGAAAAGCTAACTGCTTTTATTTAATCTAAGTAAGTGTATAAGGTATTATGTTTGACTTTCATAATTTAAAGAATTTATTTAAAACATTTAATTTTAAAGGCTGAGCTAAATTATATATACTATAACGATTTTAAAATAAAAAAAGAAACTCTTCCTTGTCCTGATTCTTACAGGATTTTACTTTAAATTGATTTCATTGACACACTCAATTATGCATGTGTGTATGCACTTGAGCAATTCTTCACGGGCAAGAATTTGGATAGTTTAAGATATCTTCCAACATATTTCATATTTTATTCTTGCTTTTTGTTTTCACCCTGAATTACTTAAACAAACATACGAATGTTCTCTTTGATTTGATTGTATATCAGTTGACTTCACTTGCATCACACCTACCATTTGTAAGCTCCCACTACATGAGATGGGCTAATAGAGACGCAGGAGAATCGAGACACACCTTCTGCAGGCCAGAAAGCCTGCATCCCTTAGTGGGAGACCAGGTCACCCTTGTCAACAATGTCTGTGGTCTTCACAGACCGCCCTCAGTGAAGACTGAGACTGAAGCATGAGTGGAAAAAACAGATTTCTCATTAATGTGTCACTTAAAGTTTGCACAGGAAATTCTTATACCTGGGCTATTTTGAAGATGCTTTATCTCATCAAACACCTCCAGCATGTAGGATGCTTTGGGCTGGCAGTGTGTCCTTTAGTTTATCCATGGGCAGATGCTCTGAGAACTTGTTTTATTATTCTAGAAGGTATCAGGGGACAGAAGACCTGACCATCCATGCTGCTCGCTCACTTCCATCTTAATCACAAACTCTGCAAACTCAGGCCTTGTTAAGAAGTATCTCAGATGTTTAAATTCTACTCTTAGCAGGGTTACTCAATCCTGGCATTACACACCTCTTGTCCTCATACTCTCATTATGGCATTTCTACCATAATGGGGAAAATTCTAAAATCATAGTCCCATTAGCAACAGGTATTTAATGATACTTATCGCCAACAGCCTGAAGAATTACTACATTCTCACGTCATGATAACTGTCACAGCCGCCACTAATTCCCAAACATAGCTTCTCAATTTCTCTGCCCTCGTTCTTAAAATTTCTTCTTTCATTTTATGATTCTTTAATGTTATTTAGACTTCCCTCGGCAAGAATAATGTCTCTGTGAGCATAGGGCATTAAATAATATTGAACTATATCACCAAGGCAGAGAATAAATTATTTATAACTACTAATTATATTTTTGGTTGATTCATTTTTCAATCATAACTAATTGTTTGTATTTTAATAGAACTATGTGCTGTAAATGGCAAAAGCCCAGTTCTAGCTATGTAGGGGAGAAACAAAGGCAATTAAAAAAATGTTTCCCTTATTAAAAAAATGGGAAGGGCAGAAAAATTAGACTTTAAAGGACAAGTTAAATGACACATAAGCATTGAAAGAACGAAACTTTACAGTGTGATGGTTTGATTTACATATATTGTGACATGATTGCAATAGGTTCAGCTACATCCATCCTCTCAATTAGGTAAACTAAAACGACAATGAAGAAGGCACAGCGAATTCTCCCTGTGTATGCTGCCCACCTGTTAACCACATCGCGGCCCCCGGGCTCAGACAGGCTGTGCGGCAGAGCAGGGCTTGAGCTCAATAACCCTCATTTTGCAAAACTTATGCATAAGATCACCCGATGGGATGCAGCGTTCAAGTTCCCCATCCGGTCACCAAGGATTCCCACTTTGCAGCGACACACTGGAGAGCTGAAGAGAAAGGCACAGCAGCTTCCAGTAATGTTCTTCCAAAGGCTCTGGGCAGCGACAGCTCCAGGTGGGTGCGTGGCGACAATGCAGGGCCGGGCAGGCGTCGGGGAACTTAGACCGACGGGGGTCGCTTTGGGCCCCAGGGGCCCTCATCTGGCCCCAGGGCCGGGATGCTCCACAGGGGAGGCGGGTGTGCGGGGACCTGGAGACTATTTCTACCCCCGTCCGTGTGGTAACTTCTGCATCACCAGGGCAGACGTGGAGACGGGAGGACTGGCAACGTTTCCTAGCTGCTTTCATTATAAAGCAGCTTAGGGCCCTGGCCGGGTGGCTCATTGGTTGGAGTGTAGTGTATGCACTGAATTTTAAAGGACAATACAAAATAACCATTATTTCAGAAATGTAAGATTGGTTTACCATTTGAAATAAATAAATGTAGTTTACTTCTTAAACATTATGTGGAGAAAACATTTGTCATTCCAACTGATACAAAAGTCATAAAAATGTAACATCAATTGATTATAAAAATCTATTAGAAAAATTGCAATATTATGGAAATGCTTTAATATGAGAAAGGTATGACAAAAAAACTTTAAAACAAACCTCATACTTAAGGATGAAATATTTAAATATGTTCCTTTAAAATAGAGAATGATACATGTAGAACTTTTACTGTCCTTAGTATTCAACATTGGAAATAAAACCCTAGCTTATGAAAATAAGTCGAGAAAAGAAAATAATTGCACCAGGGAAAAAGAAATAAAATAACTCTTTATATAAAGTATACAGAAAAACATATTTGAAATGATAGAATTAATACAAAGAATCAATAGTTCACCTCAATTGTTTTTATGTTTAAAGCAGCTAAAATCACTAAAGTTTTTAAATAAGTATGCCATTTAGAAAAATCATGACTATAGAATGCCCATATTTATTTAAGACTTCAATATAGAAAAATTTAAAATATAGTAGAGAAATGAAAGGAAACCTAATACATGGACGAATAAAGCATGATATTGATTGGAAGAATCAATCCTGTAAAGTGACTGATCTTTATACATTACTTATGCAGTCCCAAACATAGCCCAAAATGTTTATTAACAGCTTCATTAAGGTATAATTCACAAAGCATAAAATTCACCCATTTAGAGTATATATATCAGTGATTTCCAGTAATTCACAGAGTTTGCAACCATCACCACTAACAAAATTGAGGAAGTATCCAGCCCTCAAAAGAAGCAGTGAACCAACTGGCAGTTGTTTCTCATTCCCACCTCCCTTCAACCCTTGGCAGCCACTAATCCACTTTTTCCCTCTGTGGGTCTAGCTATGCCTGATATTACATGTAAATTGACTCACACAACATGTGGTCTTTTAGAAAAGTTGAATGTCACAAACATAGCATAGAGCAAAAAACACCAGACGTTAAAAGTAATGATATCTATTCTTTTGGATGTGTATATTATTTTCTAATAATTGTTATGGAAAGTATTTCATTATTAGAACAATAATATGATTCATTTGAAGATTTACACGGTCATAATATTATTTCCATTTCATGAAAATAAAGCCACCCGACAGAACCCAAACTCTAAAGCTTATGCTTGCAGAGGTATCGTCTTGAAGATCCACAGGTCATTGGTGTGAGGCCATATGGGTGCATCAGACCACAGTCACCTTGACCAGCTGATAAACGTGCTTCACTGTAATGGAGAAAAATGCATAATTTTGTTGCTATAGTGTATGGGGCCAACCCATGAGACAATAAATAGCATTTTCCATGTAACTGCAATAGGAGAATGTTTTGAAAATGGATACTGATATTTCTCATATAATATTAGTATGAGTTGGTTATTAGGAAAACTGGGCAGCCATTCTTTAATATTTGTATCAATGTTTCACTAACTTTGAATATCATTCTTCATGTATGTAAATCAGCTTGAGCAAAAGAATTAATAATACTCTTCTGAATTTTTCTTTTTGTATTTTTCTTTTATAAAGCATTTTAAAAACAACTTACTTCAGTTTGAAAGTTGAACCATTTATCCATATCCAAGGATGATCCCTGCTTTTACGAGAAACTCCAAACCATAATGGAGGTGACAGGGCACTCAGAAATTTCTATGGCAAAATAAACAATTTTTATTTAAATAATCATCATGAAATTTTATATTATTTGTAAACGCAAGTAGTGTATTCTTTCATAAAATCCTTCACTTTTAGAACAAAATGAGTGTTGGATCCTAATCTAACACTAAAGGTATATTTAAGACTTTTATAAAAGATATATTCAAATCATTTTCATATTCTCACTCAGCAATATTTGTACATTTGATTTAAAATGAACAACATTTGTTTAATGTTTTCATTCTTCTTCTTAGTTTAATAAGGAAAATTCTGATTCATGTACTTTAGTGGTTACACATGTTGACAAAACTAACAAAACTTTAAATAAGTGTTTGGAAACTTATTTAAAGTATTTGATACCATGACTAAGTCAATGTACTTTTCTACTGTTTCTCAGATACCAGGTTTTTGGTTTTTTGGTTTTTGTTTTTTAAAAAGGGGGAGGATTGTAATTAAGAAAATAAATGACATGAAAACCAAAAATTTGGTTTTCTGTGTCCCATACCATTCTTTAACCAGATAAGTCCCAAATTGATCTGTCTCTGTGTTGGTGGAATCCAGTGGTCCAGGTGTCAGAGACTCATCTCCCTGCTGATTACAACTATAAATTCCAGAACTAGTGGAAGATACAAGTGAAGGAGAGCTCTGAAAGGCGGAAAGAGAAAGGGGAAATGCTTTGGGGCCCGCATTAGGGGACAGCAGAATGACAGGGTACCTCGTATCTTCACCCAGCAGAAGAAAGTGGCCTAGGCCTGATGCGTCCCAACACCCAGCCTAGCAATAGGAGGCGGCTGAAGGAGCCGTTCCCCCCAGGCTCTGGGGAGGGGATCCAGCCCAGCACCACCAGGCAAGCCTCCGAGGGTGATCCCTCAGGACACCTGCTGACGAAGCCACCAAAGGAATCGGGGTGGGGCTGTCGGAGGTGGGACCAGCAAAAGAGATCCTCTGACTAAAAGTAATGGACCCAACAAGGCTCTTTACCCCTGAGGCCATGACACTCATCCCCAATGAAAGACATCAGATAGAATGGATTTTAAAAGGTCACATTCATCTAGCTCAGCAGTGAAAATAACAAACTGCAGACAAATACTATATAGATGAAATGCAACAATATCATATGGGAGCCAAAAGAGACAGGAAGAAAACGTATTACTGTATGATTTCATTGATGTGAGGTTCAAAGACAAGCCAAGACGCTGTATAATATTAAAAGTCAGCAGAGTGGGTAAGTGATGAGGGATTATGCAGGAGCAGGGCTGCGGAGGGCTGCAGATTCTGTTTTGTAGTCTGATTTGCAATTCTGTGGTTCTGGTGCCCTTGTCGTCAATGTGCTCAATTATATGTTTAGTGTCCTTGATATAAAGTAAAATTAAATAGCAAAGTTTATTTTGGAAACCAACCATTTAAGAAGTACAGTTTTCTATGAAAAGCAAGATCGAAAATTAGCAGATGTGCATTAGTGGTATAAAAATATAAAATATTATAAAGTCAAACAGTGGAATATTATACAGACTTAAAATGACTACAAGTATGTACAAAAATATGAATTCTACAAATATACTATTGACTGGAACAAGCCTTAATAAAGTATATGAAATGTTTAGCACCTTACCCTTTCTTCTTCATCATCTATATGAAGCAAGCTAGAGTTCTTGGAAGCACAGGCCATCAGACTCTCACGCCATGTTTTATCTTCAGTACCAATGTTATAGCAATTGTTGGAATATGTAAACCACTCCAGTGGACAACGACGACAATTATGTGCTAAAGAAAAATTATAAATTTTTAACTTAACACAATTTGATCTAAAAGATTACATATATGTCCACTTACATACACATATGTGCACAATATCTATGTACCTTCACAGGCTGATACATATAAAACAAAAAACACTCAGACACACACTCAGGGAGAAGGGTCACTTCTCATCGCCTAACTTATGTGCTCAAATAAAGAAAACACACAAACAAAATATTCAATTTCTAATGTCCCGGAAGCCAATGAAAGAAACCACCTTTTTTACAATAGCAATGTGATTTTTCCTCATCATAATAGAGTAGTAGGAAATTTGAGCTAATTGGCAACAGTAGGCACAGAGATTTTAAATAAATACTTCTTCATATTGTTGCATAAGAAGAAACACTCTCCTATAATTATTATTTATAAATATCTCTCATTTTATAATTTATATTCTCTCCCCTCAAAAAAGTCTATTATCATTTCTGCCTAACCTAAGATAGAGACAACGTATAAACTTGGTTAATATCAGAACTTTGAAAATTTCATGTACCTTTCTGGATCCTTGTTTTGGGGGATGAATTGGTCTTCTCCAGTATTACAGTACCTAAAAACATGAAGGTAATTCTTAAAAAATTAATTAACCTAAATAAATAATAATTTTTGTTTTTAAGTTTGAAGTTTTTTTTGCATTGTCTATTATGAGAATTATCTGTAATAAAACTGATTTTACCAAGAAAAATTAATAAAGCAATAAAGATTTAGGGGAAAAGCATTTAGGGGAAAAATATTTTAAAAGCCTAAAGGACAAAACTTTACCATCTCTTAAAGTATTGGTTTAACCAATACCAAGAATTAATTTATATTTCTCATAAGGTCTTTTGGGTTCCTAAACTATGTGTTTGAGTTATGAAACCAGAATATATAAATGTATGTAAAATATTCTCTACAGTGATTATGTTACTCAGGCATTTGACAAATTCAGAATAACATGACACATTTATCTAAATGCACACATTAAAATGAGAGTTCTATTCATAATATTATGAAGTGTTTAGAGACACTGAGATTCACTGAAGTAAGTAGTTGCCTTAAAATCTTTCAAAAACTTACCAGGCATAAAATGTATCACTCTTACTATGCTGTACATCAAGATGAGGCAAATGACTCCCAGGATCCCAGCAATGACCTTCTCTGGAGGCGATGGTGAATCTGCAGGAAGAGAAAGGAGAGATGGGGACATTGTTTAGATAGTTTACATACAAGAGAACCCACAACACAAGGAATCATATATATAAACTGGAACCCCGAAACCTATCCAACACTGGACTCTTCCTCTCAGAATATACTATTATATTTTCAGGAAATAAAGTACTCCATGAGTTTTTGGTCAAAGACTACACCTTACAACAATGCCTGCATAAAATTTGTCCTCGATTTCATATTAGAATACTGTATTCCAGCTTTAAGCTCTGACCCTCAGATGGAAAATATGTGAGCTAAGCCCCCACTCTTTCCCGCTCCTCTGGGCCCCAGCAGCACATCCCAGAGTTGCACTGTGTGTCTATTAAACGCGTTACCTTTGCAGGGGTCATTCTTGTCATCCCATTGAAGATCCTGAGAGGCGTCTGAGCCTATCCCCACAGAGGGTATTCGCTGTTCAGTGACTAAACGGAGCTTCTCACGCCCTTACCTTTCACTTGCTGTCTTCTCGAGTCCTTGGCCAGGTTCGGTTCCGAGCCGTTTTCTCCCTGGGTATCCATCTCGGCCCCTGCGTAATGTCAGGGATGGGGCCTAGGCTAACGGTACGCAAGGAGTTAATAAATGATGCGAGTGACAAAATCACCGGGAGAGTCAATGTGGCTGGAGTTGAGGTAAGGAGCAGTGCTCACTTCGCGCTTGACCGATGTGAAGTCCTGTGCTAACTTACTTAGAGGTTTCAATGTGTTTTATGACAGAACAATAGTTCTTCAAATGATACACCATGTTTGACATGACATTATTGGTTGAAGCCATGAAAAGTGAGAAGTTAGGGAAGAATAAAGCAGTTCAGAATAATGATATCATTATTAAAGTCATATTCCACTGAAACATTTTAACACTGTTAGGATAACTGAAAATTAAAATGCTGTATAGAAGAAAAAAAAGTGATTCGCCAATTTTTGTGACAATTTTTAAATCCACTAATGATTAAATCTTGAGTATTCTAAAGTTGGGAGAATAGTAGTATTAGCATATATAGTAATTCCTGCAATACATTAATTTTATTTAGTCACACTTATTATGAAAAGGGCAGATGAGGTGCTCTCAAATGATATTTTATTTTGAATAATTGTGGAGTTCTGAGAAATCATTAAAATTTAATGAAGTATTTTATATGTTGAAAAATGTTACATGACACGCTAAAGTTATCCAAAACATACAAATAATAAAAGCAATAGAACATTAAAGGATTTTAAAAAATATTAACTATAAACAAGTAACTTACAATTTATTTAATGGTTAAGATATAAAACCATAAATGATAAATAAATGTGTAGATCTTTTATGGAGAAACATTGTTGGAGCAAACTGCCAGAAAGATCCTCTGGCTATCAAAGTAGTGTGTCGGCAAATACAATAAATCAGATAACACTTAATTCAGTCAATAGGCTCTACAGTCAGTGAGATCTAAAATAAATTGTGACTTTCAAATTTGTAATGTATGACCTTTAAAACTTATGTAATGTCTAACAACCTAGTTTACTAATCTAAGGTGGGAATGAAAGTATATAAGCTACAATGCATGTGAAACACTTACCATTCAATCTGACATTTCTAAACTCTCAGTATGTCACTTCTTTTAATGGTTTTAACACAACTGCCGTGCACTATTTCTGATTCACATCAGACAATGCAACATAATTCATTAGACAGGAGTCTCTTATCAGTGTGGCATCTCTTTTGGCAATGTGTTGTTCAATTTGTAAAAAGTCTTTCCATTGTTTGTAATTAAGTTTAAATAGACATTTTACAGAGGCTACTAAATCCTGATTTTTATTGCAAGTCACAATGCTTTCATTTCATCAAAGTGCATGTATGAGGAATTATGTTTGACCTTCATGATTTGATGAATTCATTTTAAGAATCTATTTTTAAAGTCTGTGTTAAATATAAAATAATATACATATATACTTAAATCTATTAATTACAAAATCCAAAGTTGACTGTTCTTTTCTTGCTGCTTATGGGATTTTAAGCCCAAATATGCATGTGTATGCTCTTTAGCAATTCTGCACAGGTAAAAATTTGAATATTTTAAGATAGCCACCAACGTATTTCATATTTTATTCTTTTTACCCTAAATTGTACAAATAAGCATACCAATGTTTCCTTTGATTTGATTGTATATAAATTGTACTTCATTAATATCACGGCTAGCATTTGTAATTTCCCATTAAATGAATTAGGCCAGTAGAGAGACAGGAGAGTGCACATACCTCTGGAAGCCAGAAGGTCAAGGATCCTTTAGTGGGAGACCAGGTTACTCCTGTATACAAATAACGTCTGTGGTTTTCACAGACTACTCTGTGAAGACTGAGAGAGAAGCAATAGTAGAAAAAAGTAGATTTCTCATTAATGTGTCACTTAAAGTTTGCACAGGAAATTCTTACACTTGGGCAATTTTGAAGATGCTTCATTTCATCAAACACCTCCAGAGTATAGGAGACTTTGAGCTTGTAGTGTGTCATTTAGTTTGTCCATTGGTTAATGTCTTGGAGAAATTATTTTCATATTCTAAATGGTTTCTGGGACAAAAACTTGACCACCCATGCTGTCAACTTATCTCATCTTAAAATCACAAACAGTGAAAACTTAGGCTTTGTTAAGAGTGTTTTAGATGCATAAGTTGTATTCTTAGACAAGGTTGCCAAATACGGGCATTACCTAATTTTAGTTATACTCTTATTATGTTATTTTTATTACAATGGAAAACATTTAAAATCATAATCCCATTAACAATTGGTACTTAATGATATTTGTCACTAATATTCCGAAGAATTACTACATTTTCAACTTATAGTAACTGTCACAAGTATTAATTCTCAGCCTCTCTGCCCTAGTTCTTAAAACTGCTGCATTAATTTAATTTTTTTATATAAGTAACCTATATTTCTCCTCATAAAAATAAATGTCTCTGTCAAGGAAAAACATTAAACAACATTTAACTATACCATAATGTAAGAGATTGGAATATTAAATTACTACCCATTATATTATTCATTAATTTATCTGCCAATCATAATTAGTTGTCTGTATTTTAATAGAAATGTTTGTTGTAAATGACAAAATCCCAAGTCTAACTATGTAGGAGGAAAACAATTGTAGTGAAAAACAATTTACCTTCATCCAAACTGGAGAGGGCAGAAAAAGTAGACTTTGAAAACACACGCCAAATGACACCTGAATACCAGAAGAAATAAAACATTAAATTAGATGGAATTCTTTTTATCTTTCTCATATTATATCAAGAAAGGGGGAAATGTTTACCTATTATTGGTAAGTAAACTAAAATTAGAAGTACCATATGGTCCAGCAAACCCACTTCTGGGTATATATACAAAGAAAAAGACACAATTATGTTTGAAGAGATATTTGTACTCCCACGGTCATTGAAGCACTAGTCACCATAATTACGGGATAAAAGCAACCTAAGTGTCTTCAATGGATGAATGGATTAAAAAAATATTATACACACACACGCAGTGAATTACTATTCAGCCATGAGAAAAAGGAAATTTCTGTCACTTGCTTAGTGAATGAAGTAAGCCAACAGAGAAAGACAAATAGTGCATGCTATACTTTTTCTGTGGAATTTAAAAAGATCAGGTTTGTAGAAAAGTGGTTGCCGGGGCTGGGTGGCGAAAGTAAGGGGAGGCTGGGAAAAGCATACGAAATTTCCGTTCTAAGTTGAATGAGGCCTAGAAATCTCATGTCATGGTGACTACAGTCAGTAACACTGTATTGTATAATTGAAATTTACTAAGAGAAAGAACTTAAGTGTTCTCACCAAAAGGGAACAGAAGGTAACAAAATAAGCCACAGATTGTAAAAGTTTCCATTGATATGTAACCCTGCTGAATAAGAGAATTTCTAAAAAAATTCTGTATCTTGGCAGTTACCAAATTGTCATGGGGATGTAAAGCCTAGTGGACACAGACAATAATATTGAAATAACTAGATATGGTGCAAGGTGGGCACTAGATTTACTTGGGGATCACTTCATAAATTATATAAAGGCCTAACCACTATGCTGTATATCTAAAACTCATATAGAATAATATTAAATGTCAACGTAATAGAAAAATAAAACAAAATTGCATTTGCAAAAGATAAAAGAGATTCTATAATATGGCTTTATCCCATTTCCCAACGGCAATTTTTGAAAGCCCTGTGAACAGTGTCATTACTCACTACCTGTTATATTCTGAGAAGTATCATTGAAGTCAGAGATTATGGGATGAAAGTACGGTCTTCAAAACATGCACTTCATTCCCACAAGAGAACAGAAAAGCCAACACAAACAACTTGCCCCAAGAATATGATAAGCTTGTTCATTTTGGGAGCAAAAAAATATTAGCAGAAGTTTTCCTCTTTTATGGGAAAAAGGCTAAATTATGTAAAGTTGAAAGCTTAATATTTATGCCATCAGTTTTTTGAGTTTTTTTAAAAAATTTTATTATTGTTTAAAATATTACAGATGTCCCTTTTTCTCCCCAATGACCCGTTCCACCCTGTCCCTTCCCCCTCCCCAGTCCCTCTCCCCACTATTGTCCGTGTCCTTGGGTTGTGCATAGATGCATATAAATTCTTTGGTTACTCTCTCCCCCTCCCCCCACCGGCCTCCTCCAAGGAAGTAATGTGATTATGACATCAAGATTATTTCCATTACAGCACTGGAGAGATAAATAATAATCTGACTGATGTTTTTACTTTGTAACCAATTGGCTTAGCTGTGTGAATTAGTCTAAAATAAGTTATCTGGGAAATATTCACTCAAAAGACAGTTACCTAGGGATCACATAGATTGCCATTCATTTTGTAGTTATTTTTCCTCCCTGCTTTCTCACTCTGTCCCTCAACTGTCAGAATCAGTAAATGTTATAGGATAGTGAAAACATGGCCTTTTGAACTCAAGCATTAATAGGTAAAGCGTCACCACTGGTCTGATCTCTCCACTTTTCAGGGGGTTAGTACAAAAGTATCTTTTAAACAAATCTTATCATCGACAGGTACTGAATGTTATGAAGACACTGTGAAAAGAGTAGCTGGGTTATATTAGGCAGGAAATAAAATGAACACATTGTAAACTATATAAATTGTGAGCCTATGCCTTTGAAAAATGAGGTATATTAAAGATAAGCTTTGCCTGTAAATCAAATTAAAATTATGACATTTTCTAATCTGAGGCTGACTCAAGTTAAGGAAATCACAGTGTGCTTAAGGAAATTCATACTGCAGTCTTTTGTATTAATAATAAAACAGCTGGATAACCTATGTGCAGATGAGCTCCTGTAAGTATACATCATCGGATATCTTGTGGATTTTTACATTTCTTGTAGATTTTCCCACCCCTTTATGGTAGCAATTCTACTTAACTGGTCTCTATTACCATTCATCTTTTGTGATGTGTTTATATATTGGTTTGTGTCATTTAAATTTTATATACAGTACTCTGTCTTATTGACCCCTAAAAGAATGAAAGAATTTGTAGAAAGAATTA